TTTTTTCGGAAACATTTCGGGGAATTTCCTCCCGTCTGTCGAACGATAAATTTCATCGAGAAGTGGTACAACAATCTCGCGAACGAGTGATAAGTCATGGTAATACGCGAGATAATTTCGAATTCCAGTGTAACAGCAGACGGTGATACCAACGGCACGTGTACCCTCGTTAAAAATTGATCTTGATTGAGGCTTCCGTCGGTTTTCCTCTTTCGATATTGCATTATTATCTCTAAAATTTGACTCATATACTGGCAATAATAATTACATTGTAGAAAATTTTAGAGCACATTTCGAGAATCGTAATAGGCTGAAATATAGTACGTCGTAAATTTGAATTTCGTCGCAAAATATTATGTATATTATGGGTCTGTTGAGTACTTTTTATCTGAGTCTGTTATCCAGCATGTCATTTGCATTGTTGAACATTTTTCAGTCGACGAAATTTATTTCACTTTAATCGTCCTAAAAAGAAACAGTGTCAATCACCGATGACCACCGTTGTAATCGAAGTGCTAATGAGCCACGAAATGATGACTGAATTAATCAATTAATTGAAAATAACAAGAATAAATTTATTCAATATACATCATCTTGTATCATTTTATATTTCACTTACTAGTCTTTCAAATCTCAGTAATTTTTATTATTTGAGTGAAAAGTTCCCATAAACGATAAATTCTACGAAACTTTCACATGTCAAATATGTATAATTTTATTTACTTATATAACATACAGTATAACCTCAATCAACCAGGCTCTCAATTTGCAATACCACTATGAATAAATACGTGTTATAACAAAATATTTAACTCTATAATATCTCTCCACAAATTGTTCTATAAATTCTTAAAAAAAATTTTTATAAATATACTGTATATCTTTAATTAGCTCTGCTGTCTCGAGAAACATTTGTTGCAATATCAGGCAGTAAATTTTTATTATGCAAACTTCTATTTTTATGAATAATACTACAGAAATAGAACTGAATTCATTTCACCTACTGAAGATTATGACGAGGTATTCTATACATTTACGTATTTTTAAAGATTGCATAAATGCATAAAATTCGTGATTTACATACAGGCATCTGACAAGTAAATAATATTAAAATACAATAACAGTCCACGTGCCTCTAAATAATTTCCGAACACCTAAATGATTCCTCCGACAACTATTGCACGTTGGCAAATTCGCGAATCTCGATCCGAGAGGCACTCCAAGTGAAATGTTTACAGGTAGGAAAGCTGCTTTTCAGATATCTTATCGCTTTATCGTTCGCCATCACTCCTCTCTGTCCCTTTCGATACAATAATCCCTTCTTCTTCCCCCGCGACCTTTTTCCCACGAGCAACGTCAACGTGTTATCAACACATTGGTCGATAAAGCTGGTTTTTAGCTGGTCTCGTTCGAAGGCAGCAATATTTCGTGCGCGACTACTTTTACTAGGCATGTCGGAGTAGTTATCGCGTTATCACGTGCACCGTGACATTCAACCGTTTAGAGTGATTGGATCAAGTGTCACGAGACGAGCAAACTTGCCTTCAAAGTTGAGATTAAAATTGAAAATTTGAGAACGACGAACGACAAACTCGTGGCTGACTTATTCGTACGTGGTTTGAAATTCTTGCGAAAAAGTATGCAAATTTGTCACTTTGATACCAACACTCTGTACGTATTTCATAAATTTTTGAATGATGTTACGCGGTCTAACTTTACTATAAGATATAGAACTACCACTGAATAATTACGGCAATTAGCCCGAAATTATTCAGTTAATTATTAAATTAGATTGAAAAAGAAGATAATAATTTTTGTGTTTCAAAAAGGGAAAAGTAAATCTTTCGATGGAGAAAACTGAGAAAAGACGAATATATCACATTATCAAAGATAAGAACAAGGTGATAAAATTGCAAATGTGACAGTTATCCGTTATCTACACTTACAAATCTTTATCCGGCAAGGAAAGAAACCGCAGGTAATCTACGTACAATTGAAGATCAGGATTGCTCGCTGCAATTCCCGAATACTAGATTGCCAATCTACCAACGCAGGAAGTCACAGCCTCGATGCAATATCCTATCTACGGTCCGCCTAATCAGCCGAACAACTGCGAATCTACACAGCCCAATTTCCATTCGTTTCTACGTCAGACTGATGAATCCTCGATCATCAAGGGGGGTGCTTGTTCGCTGCTGTCACGCGCGTCGAATGTTTAATTTCAACAGCGATAAAAAGCGAACAGCCGATACACGATAATAGAATTCTTTCGAAAACTAGAATTGCTCGCAGTTTATTTATAATACAACACACAGGCATCACTTGGGAAATAGTCTAATGACCCGTGGCTACGTAGACCAAAGGTCAATGCGTAAAAATTGTTTATCATTGAAAGTAAAAATTATATATATATATATATATATATATATATA